AAGATGACAGCCCCCTCAGCACCACCAGTAAATCTAGTGTTGATGCAGCATCTTTGACTGACACTTGACTTGGATGAACTATCAGATGTCAGTAGCAATCATAGCTCCACCACAACATTAAGGAATAGAGATTATTGTCATAAGAACATAAGAACTTTTTAGGCATAACATGCTTACTCCCCCATCTTAATGTGATTTTGCCCATCCTGTTCAGAAGTTATTTAGATATGCTTGTATTCAAAGAGAATGATTTGCCTCCTTCCATCTTATGATAGAAAATGGAAGCTCTCTATCACTCTGTAAGTCTTTATATTTCATTTCTGTCTTTAATTTTCTTACCCTTTAATATAAGTATTTATCATTTTCATTAGAAATCAGGCATGCATTTTAATTTTTATAGAAGAAATTTTTGAAAATATATTTTGATTCCTGCAGTTCAGCACCTTTACTCCTCTCTGCAATCAAATTTAGATTTTGACTCCATAGAGGGCTCTTTATTTAGAAGTAGACTTTCCAATTAATGAAAATATTTGGTTTTGCCACAAGACAATAAGGAACCAGAAGGAAACAGTGATTGATGCCAGCCTTGATGATAACTACTTTCTCTTTCTTTTTATATTACAAAAATGACAGGAGAGAGGGGAACACAATTGCGCTATTAATGCAATGACTTTAAATTTTTGGGGTAAGTAATTTTTTCATTTTCTGTTTTTTCTTAGGGAGAATAAAGGGAAAGAAGAAAGCTAATGGCTCTGCATCAGGGACAATATGAAAAATGTAGACATTTGCAAACCAATACAGAAGATTTATGAAAGACTCACTGTAAAATATGGAGCTAAATATTTGCTTACTATACGCTTTAGCGTAAGTAACACATATTGGAGGTGCGCAACTAGAAATAATCTGTTGGAAAGACATAAAAAATTTTACTCAGTCACAGACTGACAGACATCCTTGAGGTGAAATCAGAACTGCCAAGTATACAAATATTGACCAAGAGCTATAACAAATTTTCTTATATTCTGAGAATGTTGAATTTTCTGTTGCAGAAGGTTCCTGGAACTCAGTAAATACCATCACTCACATTCAGAATTCTTTGGTTAGGAGGAATTTTCTACAGTGATTAGAACTGGAAGTTAATATATCCATCTCTCTCTGTAAAATATACATTCCTGATTCACCTACTGGAGCTGTTTGTAAAGTTAATTTATGGAAACCTTAAGGATTAGTCTGTCAGCACATGACACTGAACATGTAGGGGTTTTTCCATGTTTTCTCTATTGTAGCCTGAAAAAAAAAATCTCTTCTGTTCCCTAAAATCATAAACTTCCTTCACCTAAGTGAGCATTTACAAGTAAAGGTACGAGAAATCCTTCATCTAGAGTAATCAGCCCCAGGCACAAGTTCTTAAGATCCCCATGATTCAGAAATGGGGTCTTTTCTTCCCCCAGTGGCAGCTTTTTCCCTGCAGCTCTGCACTCCAGAGTAGAGCACATGTGAGCAAAAGCAAACAGGCCAATTTATTGCGTTATTACCACCACCCAATCCAAAACCCACTTCTATTTAAAACCTACTCAAAGGAGACATACAACTAAATATAGTTTCCAAACCTGATAAGATACAGGTTATCTAAAAAAATATATCTTAAGGAGCCTTTCTAAAGTTTTCAAAGTTCTTATCTACAAAACAAGTAACTGCTTAGTTGCAACTTAATTAGCCTAAATGACAATGCACTAGAACAATGAAAGGCAGTGATTTGTTAAGTTATCCCCGTCCAGAAGAATAAAAAAGGCTGTTGAACATATGCTTCATTTTAAACACAGATGGAATTAAGCATGTGTTTCAGTTCTTTTCTGAGTCAGAGCTAAAAATTGAAAACCATAGCTATGTAATATTTTGCCATGTTACAGTAGAATCAACTAAAATGTTGCCATCATATTCTTTCACATGATTTCAATATCCTGCTTGAGCAGGGGTGGGGGGGTGGATAAGGTGACCTACAGAGGTCCCTTCCAAGCTCAGCCATTCTGTGATGCTGTGAATACTGTAGAGATGAAAGCATGTTACGGTTTTATACTTATTCATAACATAAGCAATATAAAGCATTGTCATTGTTTATGTAAATAGCAAAAACATACCAAAAGGCAAATGTGTCATTTGGATCATTCATTTTTCTTTATTGAGCTTTGATGAAAAACAGTCCATTTGAAATATTTCCAGAAACCATTTCAATTCCAAATGCTCAGCACAAAAACTTGGTATCAGAGGTCAAATATATAAAGTTACATCTCATTATAATTTAATATTTAATGAAGCTAATCATTTCTGATTCTTCATAATTAAGTTTACAAAAATAATGTTACATTTATAAAATAAATCAGCTTTTCCCAATAAATTACAGTGGTGTTCTTATTCAAAAATGTAATATATTGTACAAAATAGATAACAACTTTTTGTCAGTTAAAATACTAAAGTATATTTTTCATCCAGCACATTTTGGCAGTGTGTGAAAACATTTTGTTGTACACTTGATGTCTAAAGTACAGTGTGAAAACTAAACCCATTAAGCTATGATGCACATCACCTATATAAGGCAAGGGTGGCCAACTTGGGAACTACTTTTTCTTTACAGTTAAATGTTTTTAGTCAGGCCAATACTGCCATGTTTACGTAACTGACTTTATTACCTGACCCAGTAAAATCATGCAGATCCAACTTGAGCCCAACAGTCTTTCTATGTCAAGTACACAGAAGTGACCCCATCAGTCAACTTTCAGGCTGCTCAGTATCTCTCATGCACACTTTACATTTGCATTTCCCCACAAAATGTTGGTGGCCAACTTGTAAAAATAGGAGTCTGGATTCCCCTAAAGTTAATGGTAAAACTTTGGCAGTTTATTCTGTCACAAAAACTCATGCTAAAAGGGACTTGTAAAAAGAGAAATGCATTGATAAAAAATAAACAGTAACCAGCAAAAAGAAAAACACTAAAAAGCAAAAGGTAAACATTAAGAGCTACTGTACGCAGACTTTACAAAAGAAACTACTTCAAAACATAAAGAAACACAGCACCTACCTGGTGGTAAGTGTATTCTCAAAGCCTCTGTATTACACTTCCTACCTGCAAAAATGTATCTGAAGAATCATATCAGTCTGTTTGAGCAACTTTTAAAAGACAGAAGTTTAACTACGCTGCCTTCAAATGCTGTGATTAAGGCAGGTGTCTGCTTCAGGATGATGAACATCTCACCTTGCAGAATTTCTGACACCACTGTGTTTTCTCTTTGCAACAGTTCATCAAACTGCAGTATTCTATTCTCTCTTTTTTTCCCCTCTGTTTCTTACATAACTTCAGGGAAGAAAGTCTACTTTAAAGTACTAAAGGAAAATCGTTGCTGTCTGGAATAAATAAAATGTGCAAAGTGGTGATTTTCTTACGATGTCAGTATTGTATGAACAACAGATTACTTTATATGTCATAATAGATCATTTTCACAAATTGTAACTGAGTGAGTATATGCCCAAGTGAGCACGTGTCACAAGGTTCCGTTTGTGTAAATCCACAGAGGGTCCAAATCCAGATGGGTTATTATGGACTCCAGACACAAAACTGTCAGTGTTGGACATCCCCCAAGACTGGAAGGGGAGGAAGAGGAGTACAAGGTGGCTCATCACAGTCAATCAATTAATCTCAAGCTTCTGAAAACTCTTAAAAATCCAAAGGATGAGTATTTTGTGTGCTGGCTATCCTCTGGCTTGAAAAACTATGGCTCAAACCAGGAACATCTGGAGCTGAACTCAGGCACATCTGCAACTTGAGTTAACAAGCCATAACTCTCCAGACATAGACCTACTACAGAACTACAACTACGCTGGAGGTGAAGTTTAGAGTGATTGCTGACACATGCATTCACCAGCCAGTTAAGCAAATAAACACAATGTCTACATTTACACTAGTAAATCAAACAGTACAAAGTCTATACTCCAGCCCTGAGGTCACGTCATGGTCTGGCCATATTCCTAGTTATACCCTCTGCACCCCTAAAGAGAGGTGGACATATCCAAAGCACCTGGTGAAAAGTATCCCTAGACCAGCCTAATTCCTAAAGTGTGCCCAGAAACTGGGAAACTACTAGTTAGTCCCGACCAAAAAGCATATCGGTCCTTGTTCTAACAATTTAGCAATCTAAATGCCTGCATCCATGCCTCGGCACTGCCCAATTGACTGATACAGACTTCACTGTGGATACAGATTTTTAAAAATCCTCAAGGTTATTTGCACATGGCAGGCCCCCTGATTCATACAAACAGGTAAGCAAGGAGGATTCATCTTCTGTTGAAATTTTACTTGTAAGAGATGGTTCTTTCAAATCAAGATTTTTTAAAAAATTAGTTGGGTATTTCTGTCCTTAAAGTATTTTCTCCTTTTTATGTAATGCATGTGCTTTGTTTGGTAGCCTACTATTTTGCTATTAATGGAATCTTGGCTTTTGTTTGATCAACCTGCTTTTTCATGTCTACAATTCACAGCTAAAAAAGCACTAACCAGTTCTGTCACAATGAAAAAATTATATACACATCTAAAGCAATAATATTAAGACAACAAAACGAGAAATAAAAAATGAATCTATGCAGTTCAAAGATCTAAAAATAATATCAAGCTCTATACATATTTCCCAGACTGCAGCATCCAGTTACAGTTGTACGCATCAGTCAGACTAGTGAGTATTACTTTCCAAATCATGGGGTGTTTTAAGAAACACCCACAGTAGTGGCTGCTGAGGAAATAATTCCCATTATCATCCTGAGATTTTACATGTGCAAGTATCCTACCAATTTATCTAGTGCATAAAAGGAAAGGAAGGAAGGAAGGGAGGAAGGAAGGAAGGAAGGAAGGAAGGAAGGGAGGAAGGAAGGAAGGAAGGAAGGAAGGAAGGAAGGAAGGAAGGAAGGAAGGAAGGAAGGAAGGAAGGAAGGAAGGACAAGACAGAGAAAAATTATCACAATGGTTTTTGTTTCAAAATAGATTGCTGTGCAATGACTGAAGCCTGATTTGTAGGCATTTTGTATTCTTGCCCAGATCCTTGAGGAGGTGAAGGTAATGGAGTTTCTGGAGTTGCTGAAAAATAATATAGAAAGAATTCAGTATTCTTATATTCAGACCTACTATACATACACATACATATACACATACACACACACATACACACACACACACACACATATACATACACATGTACATGTACACATACACATACACATACATACTACTGCCCCAAAACAAAGTTCTATTACATTTGGCATGGGAAGTAAATAGGATATTTTAGTTATCAGAATTTTTATTTTATTAACAATTGTTCATGTTAAGCCAATGATAAATCAGAATGGTACTGAATTTTTAGAATTAGATTAAATTCAGCTCAAAGTCTACCACATAAGACTGCTTATGCACATACTTTTTTAATGCATAATTATTTTAATTTAAGAATGGTGATGAAATAACTCTATGAGCACTGACAGGCCACCATTCTAATTAACGTTTTTAACTGTAACAGTGAAATATTATGACAGAAGGCTAACTTGCAATTACTTACAAATCTGTTCTGTATGTACAGGAGCAGACATTGAACTTATGAGGATAGTTTGTCCAGTTAGTGGATCTTGGGCTAAGTGAGGATGTACTGGATGATGCAGATGACTGGAATCATTAGAAGTACCTGCAAAAATAACATGAGCATATTCAAAAGAGCATGTTGTTGCCAATGACTTAAATTGCAATAATTACATTTCTGCAGAGAAAATATTTTGATTGGCAATCTGAATAATGGCCTTTAGGTATTCATTAAACAATTTAACCAGACTTCAACCATATTAAGCACTCGTTTTCAATGTTTTGACTGCATTAACAGTGGATTTCATTAAATATTTTTAAGGATTCTTCCATCTGCCTAAGGAACCTTATGTTTAGCTACTGAGCAATGACTGAGAAGTACACAGGACAATCTGAAGCTGTAGGACTGAGTTAACAAGACGAGCAGCCAAGAATAGAAGGCTTTAGCCAACAATTATATGACCCAAAGCTCAGTCAGGGAGGCAGTGGTCAAAATGCTTGTTTACGTCATGATTGCTTCTACATCTTAGTATTCAATATAATACAGCATGGTAAATTTAACAAGTTTTTAGCTTACCTCCAAGCAACATTTCCTGAAGCAAACTGTCAATTTTAACAATTCCAAATAGTTTAACCAATTGTATTTGCTCGATCATTTGCCAAGTGATGCTCTGGAGTGTAGGCAGTAGAAGCAGAAGTTCTCCAAATCTTCCTCGGGAGTCATACTGACGATCATTAATATAATCCTCTAAACTGATTTGGACTTGGAACCGCATGTTCTTAATCTTCATCGGATTACTCAGGCCCTTTGCATCTTAAAAAATAAGAAAACATTAAAGTCAAGGCAGTTTATGATTTGGGACGAGCATCTTAAGTTTTTAAATTTTATTCTTTTCCATGCACCTAGATAACATGAGCAGATGCTACATCAAGAAAAATTACTTTCAATATAATCAATATGTGCAATAATTCTCAGAGATATTTTCTAAAAGGTACCTGGATCAAAAAACACAATTGCTTTCAAGCAAGCGTACTCATTGTCGTCTATCTGAATTTCCTGGAAGGGTCGAACTAGTTCATCTAAAATCCGATTTGCCACTCGGCTGATCTCTACTTCAGTACTGTTGCGATGGATTATGTAATTGTTGCCTTGGAGAGAAAGAATACCAACATGTGAATTGATATAAAGACTTTGATGTAATGTACTAGATGAAGCCCATTTTCAAAAGCACATTTTATTTTGCTTAATCAAATCATTTAATATTTTTTTCATGTAATAGCTCTCCTTTGTATCAGACAAAACTGTTCTTTGCAAACAGAGTATATGTGCAAAATACAGCTGTCACCCAGTAAATAATCTGTGCATGTAAATATATCAACATGTGCACAGTTACTGATTAGTCCACAGGACTGAGGTCCGTATTTGAATGCATAAGCATGGAGAAAGTAGGACTTTATCTTTACATAATAGATAAATATAGTGCTAAAATGATTCTAAAATTTCTTCTTCTGCCATTAAAATAATATAGGATAATAAGGATTTGTCAACAGAGAAAGAACTCTCATCCAGAGGAGACAGCAGGAGTGCTTCTTTTTCTGGCAGATGCTTCTGTTATTTCTAATAAAGTTTAGAAGCATCAGAAAAATTTCAGTAATAAATGAATTTTCCTTAGTCTTTTAATTTTAAATTTCCATTTGGGGCAGGTTCCATCATGGCATCTTAGTTCAACTTCTGTCCAGAAATCATCTAACATAAGTGTTGAGAACAGTGGAAAACCCTTACAGCTTCCAGAAGCCACCAAGAAATTTTGAAAGAAAAGCTGATAATTACAAGACATCCATGCCAAAATGTCTAATATACTACAAAGATATCTACCACCACATATCAGAAATAAGCCTTGGAGCTTCAAATTATTTCTTCTTTCAGTATATATGCTGATGTTGGTGATGCTAACTACAATTTTCTGTTTATTATTTTCTCATTATTTGTCCTTATTACCTACTAAGCTCAGTAAAACTGCAGACATTTCTTTTTTATTTCTCTTAATTTTGTCAGTAAAACTGTATCTAGAGAAATAACTAGGTTAAGAAAGTAGTTTTTAACTTGAAAGGATTGCTGGTGAGAGTAGTATCTCCAGAACAAGCCCTTCCTGTCCCTTTAATGATATGATATCTGTAAAAGTAAATTCAAGCTGATGTAGCGCTATGTAATGGCAGTCCAAGGAGGAAGGAGAACAAATAGCAGAAAACCTTTCACCACACAACCAGGGAAGAAACTAGTTTGAGTCTGTATGCTTCATAGTCGTGACTATTCAAGAAGACAGACTTTCTCAAAAAACAGGCCAAGTGCTGCACATGTGCAATGAGATCATCTTTGGCAGGGTACGCTTCAGACTGGCAGAGTACTGTGTCAAACAAGGCTAACAAATGCCTCATCGTGTCATTATACACACAGGTACACACCTCATCATAGTACTGTGCCTCGTTGCCGTGTGAACAAAGGGAAGACATGCTTCCACCACGCGATGGTGACACCTTCCCTAACAACCATGCTTTATTCAGATAATCTAGTGAAGGAGCCATGTCAAGTGACCAAGAAAATACTTATGCAGGTGTGACTCCTCACCGTGCCATGGATGCACCCATCTCCCGCACAGCAGGGGACAACAGGCATGCTGTTGACATGATGGCCACATGGCAATTGTCAAGGCAGCAATCATAGCTCTTAGGAAAGAGAATTGCAGGGAACAGGATAACCAATTTTCCAGCCTGTAGAATCTTCTCCGACTATGTCTGAAGGGCTCTAGGGGAAGCACCAGATAAATGGTCTTCATGAAGATTGAAATTAGTACATGGGCCACAGGTTGGCTACTCCTCTCTTAAGCAAAGTGGTTTTATGGGGTTCTTTGTTGTTGTTTTGTTCTGTGGTTTTATGGACAAAGGTGTAGAAAGAATGTTAATGTAAGGAGACAATTTGCCGGGAACTCCCTTAAGTTGTGGTTTCTGGTATCCACTAAGCCTTTAGCCATATTAACTCACAGAAAACTGTCCACCTGCATTTGCTGGAACAGGGCATGTGACATCATGCCATCAATAGCTATTTAGTGTTCACAGAATGCATTGCTTTGATTGCACCAGGAGATTTATCCCACTTAAGTGATTACGTGGTTGCTAATGTACTATTACATCATCATTATTAATTAAAACAGAACCTATATTTACCTAGAAGTAAGATATCCTTATATGCCATGGACCGTTTAGCTGCTCCAAGCAACAGGTGTTCCCCAGCATGTGCCCTTAGTAGGGCAACCTCAAGGGAAAAACAGCAGACTCATTAGAAGAAAATGCAGTAAGTTCCAATAAGGGCAAAGGAAATGAGCATGCATATTACTGTATATTCAGCTATAGGTACATGTTTAAGATGGTTAGGAGGTAAAATGTAAAGCGAAAGTAGAAAAATTAACACTGTACTAAGAGCACACGATAATGAAATTGTCATCCTCTGTCACTTCTAGCATTTGGTCTAGATTTTAAACATACAGCTCTGCAAAATACTTCTCAATAGAATACTTGCATTTATTTCTTAGTGGCTATTCCTTTACAAAAGTCTTTTCTGGAATTTTAAATTGACACTAAAGGCTCCAGTGGGCTGGAATGAACTGTAGCAGTAAATTCAACACTATCAACGTTTCATTTTTCTCACCTTGAAACAAAAATTTATGTCGCACTTAAAAGAACTTTTTCTCCAACAAAGCCAGATATGCTAAAATATCCACTACTGGCAACAAAGAAGAAACTTGATTCATACCAGGAAGGCACTTAAAATGTGGTCATTTGTTTACTCTTTGTCATCTATTTACTTTCCTTTGTTTTTAATGTCTGCTTGAAACTTCAGCGCTGGCCTCTATTTCCTCAAGGAAGTCCTCTCTTGGCAAGTAATATTTTCCTTAACGTGTCCAAGCCAATACTTTATGAGTGATGTAAAGGGACACAGCACCTAGGAATACTTAAAGTGTTAAGATTTTTCTGCTCCTCTGTAGCGTTTACTTATCTGCTCTTGCCTGCTCTGTGGTTTGTAAATCAGGATGATTCCCAGATCAGGAATCGTTTGTTCAAAACTAGATGGTTTATTTTGTAACTAAATGCACAATTCCTCTTAGAAAGAGGCTATCAAAAATGCAAAAGTGGCATTTGTTTTAACTCCCAATACCTTTGTCACTACTTTTCTAAGATTCCTAAGTTTCCGGAGTATTTCCCAACACGTACTCTTCAAGCACTGCAAGGGTGTTTTCAGCCCATCTTTCTAAGATGATTTTTATTTTTTAAATACAGAAATTTTTAATGAGTTCTGATGTTTTTTTATTTTCCTTCATGATATCTCAACAATAAAATCAGCAATATTTTTGCTTGCTTTTGTTGCCCTTGTGCAATCAATGCATTTGAAACTTTCCTTCTTTCACATCAACAGATTTTTAACTTATTCCAGTATATTGAGCTTGTGCACACATATATTCTGTGGGTCTGCAAAGACATCATTAAGCTCCTATTGTGGAGGGGTCTCTTATGACCTGAAACACCTCCGTATTTCTGAGAAATAGTATGAGGGAATGAGCTCAGTTTGATTCTCAAATCCAAGGATGATCTAACCTTCCTTGCAGGATTTTGTTAAAAACTGAGAGACAGAAGAGGCAAAAAGGAGTAATTACATGATTCCACTTCATGAAGTCATTTTCTGAAACAGCTGAATCAGGTTTTGGTGGACTGGCGCCAAGACATCCTGACCTGTGAATTAAACTCCTGCCCAGGCAGCCAGTGAGAGAACTGCTTACTGCAACGTGGAGACGCTGATTTTGAGTGGGCCAGCACAACTTACTCTGAAACCCAGTGATATATTAGGATATATTACAGGGTATTAGGATATAGATCAGACCTCTGTCATAAAAACCCTTAAGAAGTTTCAAGGTTTGATGGGTTTTTTCCCTCATACTCCATATTACAATATAGTTTTAGTACATTGTATTATGTGAAAGACTATTTGCCACGCACTGATATCAGTAGGTTTGGTATTTGTCTGAGATTTTAATGGCTTTTATTTTTTGCAAGTAGAGAAGACCTGCTTCAAATTAAGTAACACACTGTCTTAAATCATATTATAATAAATGGTGAACATGAAATAAATACTTTGAAAAGTCAGAAAAAAACTTGGTATATTTTAACTTTTTTTTTTCATTTTTGCGTGCAGCTTGGTACCTCTGCTTCCAAAAGAATAGAGAAAGTGCAAAACACTGGAAGACAGTGGTTTGCTGCTTCTTTCTGTTAATGTGCTAGGGTCTTATCAATTTCCTCTGGTTACCTGTGGTGGTGCTATTTCAAAACTTTAAAAACATTTAAGATGCTGGGTCCAGCACCTAGCTCTATTTGATCAGACAAAAAATGAGTGTGGAATCATAATATCTAAATATCACAGATATAACAGGACAGTAATTAAAGTTTTCTTTTTGGTCTCCTCTTATACCTGGTCATCCAGTGGTAATTCACAGAAGCCTGGAATATATTTAGCCCATTCCACCAGAACCAAAAGTTGTTGCTTCATAGATTCACAGACATCACTAATACCAGCAATTTTCTTAACATTTATGTCAGTGCTAGCACCAGGACTGGAGATTGAGATCTGGCCATAGTGAGAGAAAAAAAATAACAATGTTAAATCTTATATAATTGCATTTTCACTGGTTAACAACATATTTCAGAAAAAAATCACAGCAGTAATCCTTCATACTCTTCAGAAATCCCTTGACCATATAGACCATTAGTCTGCATGTAAATGATATGATTTTATTTCTCATTATTAGAAATGTGTACTACAGTATGTTAAATTACACTATTCATATCATGATACAATATCTTATAATTCCAAAATGCTATTTATAAATATACATGAGTCCTTATTATTTGCATGGGGAGGGGAGTTTTTTTAATTCCTTTGACATTTACTTCATTTCAGGAAAGAAAAAAAGAGCTCACGGGCATGTAGTAACAATAAGAGCAAAGAAAGAGAGAAATAAAGGGGTAGCATGTTCTTCTAGTGAAAAGATAAGTATCATTAACTTTAGAAGGTAAAACAAGGGTTTTTAGTGCCTGGAGGAGAATGGTTTGTGATGATGAAGCATCAGTATAGGTAGAGGCCTGAGATGTTTCAGAGCAAATGTAAAGAATATGAGTGTGCATTAGACCACCTGCAGTGAACAGTGTTGTGTGAAATAAGAAGAGAGCAGTATCTTTCTGGGCCTGAAACTGGATCATTTCCACATAATCACTGAACCAAAACCTGAAATTCTTAATGACTTTTCAAGGAAAGGAACAAAACCAGGCTTGCTCTTAAGCCAGGCAGGAAAGATGACTTAAGAAAAAACGAAGCTTGAGAAGAAAAGGTCAGTTTATAGCTGCTATCATACCGGGGGGGAAAGAAGAAGAAGAAAAGGAACAGGAAAAAGAAAAGGAAGAGGAAAAGGAACAGGAACAGGAACAGGAAAATGAAAAGGAAAAGGAAAAGGAAAAGGAAAAGGAAAAGGAAAAGGAAAAGGAAAAGGAAAAGGAAAAGGAAAAGGAAAAGGAAAAGGAAAAGGAAAAGGAAAAGGAAAAGGAAAAAGAAAAGGAAAAGGAAAAGGAAAAAGAAAAGGTCCCACCACAACAACATCAAAACCCCACCACTGTACAAGGCCTATGAAACTGACTTTAGCCTTATGTTTTATTTACAGAAAGCATACTCAGGAAAATCTGTATTTTGATTATCTTCCCCCTGCTAAAAAAAATTTTTTGATCTTCCAATACTGTGTACCTACAGATTTCAGGATGGTGGATGTTATTTAGGTTGACTCCTACCAGATCCCCTTCCTTCCCAGATCCATGTTAAATTCCCCAGTGAGATCTGAGGTGAAATCCCATTATCCTTGGGAGTCAAAAAGAGTTGCACTTCTGAACTAAACATCAGTGCTTGCTACATAATTCAGTACTCTAAATCACTGAAAACAGCTTAGATATTAATGGCAGTTAACCAGCTGAACAGTAGTTCTCAAAGAAACACAGCAGCTAGACAGACAAAAAAATCCTCAGGCATGTAATTCATAGACGATCATGCAAGGAAAAGGTGAGAGGTATTGTCTCTTTGTAGACAGACCATTTGTTAAATCTCTGCTGTAATCATGAGTCCATTTCTGGCATCTGTTCTACAAAAAAAGAAGTTGAAAATACTGAATATCGTTCAACTGAGAACTACCAGAATGCTCAAGTCTAGGAAAACCCCAGTACAAAAAAAGAATAATGAAATTCAACACATTTCATTTTTTCCAGAAGAGTAAGGGTCTTGATCAAGATTCAAAAGCACCTACACAAAGAAAAGAGTTCTGATAGCAGAAGGTATTGTGATCTACTAGGGAAAAAACCAAACAAACAAACAAAAAAAACCCCAAACACCACCACCACCACGGACCAACTAGAGGTTAATTCAAGAAGGTAAAGAACAGGCAGATTATTTAACCATTAGACTTAGTGACTCATGAACTTAATACATTGTCCTTTCTTTAATATCTTTTAATCAAAGCTATGTATCTGTATAAATTACACTTACAGGACAAACTATAGACCCGGTGCTGAAATTATTTGGTGAGATTCTGCTGGGGATTCATGGGATGACAAGCATGGGGTTCCTTATTAATTCTTCGGATTGCATCTCTTCAAAATTATATGAATCATAGAATCACAGAATGGCTTAGGTTGGAAGGGACCTTAAAGACCATCTAGTTCCAACCCCCCTGCCATGGGCAGGGACACCTTCCACTAGACCAGGTTGCTCAAAGCCTCATCCAGCCTGGCCTTGAAGACATCCAGGGATGGGGCATCCACAACTTCTCTGGGCAACCTGTTCCAGTGCCTCACCACCCTCTCCGGGAAGAACTTCTTCCTGATGTCCAATCTAAACCTTCCCACTTTCAATTTAAACCCATTACCCCTTGTCCTGTCACTACAGGCCCCTGTAAAAAGTCCCCCCCAGCTTCCTTGTAGCCCCTGCAGGTACTGGAAGATGCAAAAGGTCTCCCCGGAGTCTTCTCTTCTCCAGGCTGAACAAGGCCAACTCTCTCAGCCTTTCCCCATAGCAGAGGTGCTCCAGCCCTCTGAGCACCTTCGTGGATGTCCTCTGGACTTGTTCCAACATATGAAGCTGTGAACTTTGCCATTTCTATTTCTCTGTTGCTTTAACCTGCCTCTTATTTCTGGGGTGAAACATGGGAGTCACTGAATCATAGAATCATAGACTAGCCAAGGTTGAATGAGACCTCGAAAGATCATCTTATCCAACCTCTAGTGTGATAAGAAGCCTCTATAAGATTATCTATCACCCTGTCTAATAGTATCATGAAAACCTCCAGTGATGGAGACTCTACTACATTACTGGGAAGATTGTTCCAGTTATTGATTGTTCTCACTGTAAAAAAATTCTTTTCTTATATGAAGATGAAACCTCTCCTGGTGCAACTTGTTCCTGTTAATGACTTGATGAATGTGACAATATAACACTAGATCCCTATTGTCCTGAGAAACACCAGAGAGACATGCCTTTACTTCTCTACAAGAGTCAAGCATGTCTTTCATATTTACATAATCTTGGAAGCCTCTCCTGGATCTGTAGGAGAAAAATTGTAGTTGGACAATTTCTCCCTGTCAGGGATATTCCGGGAAAAAATAATCCATTTTCCCTATTTTAATATGAAAATTTTAAAAGGGATGAATGCCATCTTCTTCCATATTTCACAGCTGAAGGACTTGTCCAATGATTTGTGATACTGTCACCTCCTTCAAGTCTCTCATCAGGACTGAACTCATGTTACAGACCCATTCTATTGAGGGAATAATAAGGACTTTTAAAACTTTAATTTTCCATCAGTTAATGTGACCTCTTGGTCTTTGAGGACAAGGGTTTATCTTCATTTATGCTTGACACAGTGGGAGCAATTGTCTCCTACTACAACATACCAGCCACTAACTATTTTATCTTCCCTTTTTGGGGGGACTTCTGGTACAGCTTTCTCAGATGGTGCTTCAAGCAATTCTTATTTTGTTACACTGGGGGTTCTTGATCCTTTCTTGTTTTTATGATGTTGAACAATTTCATCGGCAGAATATTTGGAATCACTCTTGGACCTCTTCTGCTTTTTTCTCTACATTTTTATTTTTTTGATCTTTCTTCTGTGAAAAGACATGTTTTTCCTCAGTTGTTGATTCATTAGTGTACATCTCCACCCCACCCCACTGTCATCATTTTTCTTATTTTTTTGTATGCTTTTTCTATACTTTAGACTCTTTCTTGCTGTCATCATGCATTCTATTAGAAGCATCTCTTTCTTCAGAGGAGAGATGTCTGAGATTTTCCTGAACCCTGGACTGGGAGCTTTCTGAAGCATCTCGTTGCTCTCTTTGCTTATCTGCTGAAGAAACCCTCTCTTTAAACACTGATTCTTCATAACACTGGGAACTTTCCTTTTTTTTCTGATTTTCATTCTTCTTTCCAGCAAATCTGCTACTCTTCTGTAACATGACAGGGGTTCAGTGACTGGGATTCCTGTGGCTGCACAACCTGGCTCAGAAGTCTGTGCTTTTCATTTTTATCATCCTCACTGTTGCAAGCATGACTGTCAGGAGAGTGCTCACAAAGACGTTTGGGTGACTGACAAGGACTTGGACTGCTTTCATTTCTGTGACACTTCTTGCATTTTCTTTCCTCGTGGACATCCCTTGAACTTCCTTTTTCTTGGATATCTACTCTCTTAAACCTGTGGTCTTCCCTTCCTTTTTTTTTGTTGTCCCAGTACCTCTGGCAGTCCCTTTTTTCCCCTTATCTTGATCTCCCTCCCTTTCTTATTCCCACTCTCATTCTCTTTCACGCTTTTTGGACTCAATGATCTTAATAGTCCTTTCCAATCTAAATGATCCTACAATCCTATAATTCTATGATACCAAATAATAAGTAGAATAAATTTTTACGCATACATAAGATGATGTTTTAGGCCAGGAACCTACTGCCTGAAAAGGACTTTGTGGCAGGAAAGGCTGAGGATGTAATTCTGTTTAAGACAGCTCTTATTCCTGAATTGCATATACCAGTTGGAAATGATTAAAGGAGTAACACACACACAAAAAAAAAAAAAAGCACAATAAGCAAGTTCAAAGAATTACTAAGGAGGTAAAAATAGGCATATTTTTCATACTGTATAGGGATGAAAGTTAGGAAGGTCCATTATATTCATCTAGTCTGCCCAGACATGCAGTATGTACCAAAGACTATCACCCAGTAATTCTTGCATCAGTTCTTTACAGACAGTTCTACCCTAAGAGATATGCTGATAAAGGACGAGATTACAAAACATTTTGGGATGTATAAATCAGTCAGCATGAAATCGTAAAGGTGGCAGTTAAATTCTAAGTAAGTTAGTAAGAGGTGCAAGAATGCAGAATCAATGACCATGATTTATCTGAGGTGCAGAAAAGGACTGGAGACTGTTCCATTCAGCAATTGATTGAATAAGGAGGGGGAAAAAAAAAAAAAAAAGAAAACGAAGTTCAGATGAGACAAAGAAAATTTAAAAGCGGGATGTGAATAGACTGCAGTTGGAACACTTCTGTTTGCCTTATTTATAATGTCTAAGAATATTAAAAATGGGATTTTCAAAAGAATGTAAGGAAATGAGTGTCCACACCCCTTTGAATGTAATAGCTTTAGGCATCTTTTTTTTCCAAATGTTTCATGGGAAAGCCAGACTCAAGGATAGATAGATGCCACCAGCTGCCTGAGACAGCAACTGATTTAAAAGCAGTAAGAACCATAAAGCTTTATTAAGAAAGGTGCCTAGGACATATTGTCCTGGACAAAGTAGAATTTTTTTTTTATTGACTTTTCTTTAAGAATGTATTCTATTACTGACTCTTTCATTCGGAAGAGGAAGCTGGGTGCATTTTGGAAAAAGAAAAAAGTGATCTCCATAATTATATTTAATACAATAAGAAACAGAAAAGCATTTAACTTCAGAAAAAATGGCCATAAAGTCATCAAATAATTTTGTGGTACCTGACGAGAGAGTGTCTCAGCTTGTGACAGTGTGCTAATAGAGGGAATGTTGCAGCCATCATAAGTGTTTCTTCTCGTACTTATCCTGTCCCGTTCATTTTGTACAGCTGGAAAAGAATAGTCATTCCATTTATTGACTTGCAGACATTGTCACACAATACCACTTCAGGAGTTTACTAGGTAACTCTAAGAATCCAAGTGTATGACATTCAAAAAAGATCTTGTGCTTTTAGCTCTGAGTAATGAGGAAGGATAACAACAGATATTTATGGTCTTTATGTATACTTTATGTTTGCCTGTAATTACAATGTATAATTAGTTGTAAGTATATATTGAATTACAAGCACTTTTGTCACTGGCTTTAATACAGTAAAATGTCTTTCTTCCTTTGGACTTGAACACATGTTGTCATTTTTTTTTTTTAATCAATTTAAGAAGTGAGGCTTTATGGTAATGGACATCTGCAGGCTGCTGAACTGGTCAGGAGGTACAACTCGACCACTGACAAAATGTCTCAGTCAGAGGAAGTGTGAAAGCCCTAATCCTGCTCTCCTGTGAGGAACCCTGAAACAGGAATGAGTCATGAACTTAATCAACTAATAAAATAATTTTGAAACCTAAATCTCACCCTCCTCCTTGGTGACATTACATTTCTAGCCAGTTTACGGAACATTAACTAGGTAAAAAAAAGAGAAAAAGTAACAAAAAGTTTCAGGCCGGTAAGTTTTGTCTCATGGGGTCCAAAAAATGCAGTTGAAAGGGCTTTGGATAAGGCATCCTTAATCAGCACATGCAAGGCTTATGAAGCAACAAGGCTTACTTTTGAATTGAAGGAAGAAGAACAAAATAAAACTATCAATCAGATGTTTCTAAAACTTAGATCATGTCCAAGGTTAGGCCAAGGAGAAAAGGAAAGAAAAAAAAAAAGGAATTGTGCTGATCAAAATCTTTTTATTGCACAAGGAATTCCATCATCTTTTAAGAGCAGCAGCTTTATTTCCAAAGATATGTTTGTTATTTGTGGGAAACAATCTGCATTACAGAATTTAGGACCAGTACCAAAGGTTTCAATAAAAAAAAAGATATTCTATACACTGAATAGTTTTCAGGGTTTATCTGAAAAATGCACATAGTTTATTCCAGAGGTGTACTAACTTTTTGCCAAGGACACTCACTGATGGGTCTTTTATTAAGGTCACAGTAAGAAATGTTGTGCTGTGATAAACACAAAGTGCTAAATGTTCATGTAGACGGGAAACAAAAAATATAACCTTTTTTAAAAGAATGAGAAAAACCCACTCAATCTCAGCAGCTTAAGTGCTACATAGAAAATTAAAATAAGGTCAGTGCTGATTAGTATTAGAAAAATAGTAAGTTAAGCTGACAATCATTGTTGAAAGTCACTGGTGACACACTTTGCAAATCATAAGGAAATGCTTCAATTTTCTTCTGTGTATGCATAATTTTGGATTATTGTACTAGATTGTGTCTTGCTACAGCCTTTTTGTCAGTTCAGGCTAAAATTGCCTTAAACAGACAGTCCATGAGGAAGGGGGAATATTTGCTTAAAGAGGGCTTGTATAGCTTTTACCAGCTGAAGCATTTCTCACCTTCGCCCTGAAGAAAATAAAGTGATTTGCTAGGAAAAAGCTGAGAAACTATCACATAGACTATGCTACGCTTATGCTGTGAGACATCCCCTGACGTTGCAGAGAGGTATATAACAACACACAAGCAGTGAAATTTACAGTTCAGCATTTTGAATTATTTTAGCACTGGGAAGCCTTGAATAAACATGTATTGGACACAATGAAAAATGAAAGTTTTATAGGTAGTGGGACCAGAGGAGGCAAAGAAGTGTAAATTAGGTTAAAAGTTTTGTGCAGGCTATATCTTCATAAACATGAGTGAGCAGCGTGCCTCATAGCGATGCCAGCTAGCCATGCATCAGGCTGCATTAGCATCCTGAGGGCTGTGATTATTTCTCTATTTCAGGCGTCTCAGCACATGGAAGATGTTGGAAAAACTGGGCAGTGCCCAGTGCAGGGCTGTGGAGATGTAACCCACAAGATGCACAAGGCGAAGCAAAGAGATGTATCTGTTTATGTAGAAGAGAGAGGACCAAGGCAGAGGTGGGGGTGTAATGTACGTAGATTGCAAAAAAAAATGGAGCCTGATTCTTCCCAGATGCACAGTGAAAGGACAAGAGGCAATGGACCCTACCCTAACTACAGTCAGACACATTCCAATTAGATATAAGGAAAAAACTCTTCCCAGTGAGTTTTCAAGCTCTTCCCGGTGAGTTCTCAAGCTCTGGGAGAAGTTGTGGAATCTCCCCTCTCAGGGACTGTATAAACCTGGCTGGACAGGGTCCCAAGAAAACTGCCTGAACCTAGAAGTTAGCCTTCCTTTAAATGGGGGCCTGGACTAGATGACTTCCAGATGTTCCTTCTGAGCTAAACTATTCTTTCATTTCAGGTTTTGAAAATTTGTGAAGCTCTGTTTTTTGCAAGACCTTTCAGGGATTCCCTTTTCTTCATGACAGATTGCTAATATACATACAATATGTTACTAATTTTAATGGCTCCAATTCTTGAAGGCTAAACTGTGTTCAAGGAAACCCATGAGAATTAGTAAACCTATTTCACAGGTACACAGTGTAGCACTGTTTAGAATATCTCCATCCATCTGCAAGGAGAAAATCCATTTTACCTCATAATAAAACTTGATCAGTAGCAAAGCAGTACTGCAGTATAGATATATGAGCACCAAGAAACAGCTTCCTTTATCTCAGGAATGCTTTGTATAGACTAAAAATATCATAGCCTGGTTACAGTGGCGGAGAGCTGCACGCTCACATTGCAGACCGGCCTTCAGGCAGACACATCATGCTCCAAAAAAAAAAACCATAGCGAAGTTTGTGATGAACCATTGTTGAGTGCTTATTTGAACAAAATCAAGAAGAGTTTTGCCTCTACATCATAATTTCCAGTGAAGCAACAACCCCAACAACTCAATGTGAAAATCCTCTGATATTGCCACTGTCTCTCTTGCCCTATTGCTCTGCTCTTGTGGTTGTCCAGTCCTTCCACTTTGACAGATGGATCACTGTGACACCCATGTTTCTTCATGTCTGTCAGAGAGATGCCTAAGTAACAATCTTCCCATATTAAGGCCTAATGAGGTCAGAATTTTCTTTCAGTAAATGTGGACACTCCACTGACAGTTACCACTACTGTTCTCACCACTCTTTTTTCACTCAACTTCACACTTCTTCTTCTGGCTTCTTCAAACATTTAAATTTAAGGGAAGAACTAGTAAATTGTCACTGACGTTACTTAGGTAGCATAGAAACACAATCCCAGACAGAGCTTTTATCACTAAAAATGAAAATCTCACACTTTGAACTTTTTTAGGATATGAATCAACACTTTGAAATCAATTAATTTTGGTGCAAGGATTTGTAGATTAAAGAGTTGTAAATTCACTTCAAACTCATAGATTTACTAATGTTCAAAGTGTTAGAACTGTTTACCCACCTGAAAATTAGATGGCACATATGTAACCTCAATATAAACTCCTTTCTCCATCGTGAAGGCATGATAGCAGACTTTCCATTGAATTACTCTGCTTGATTTTTTTTGAGTTTTGATTACATTCTAAAACCAATTCAGGTTATTTATTTTTGTATATCAAATAATAAATGATTCTATTACCTTCTTTTTTCATTCTTGCTCGAAAACACTTTTTTAAACGGCAATATCTGCATTGATTCCTCTTGTCCTTGTCAACAATACATTGCCGGTTGAATCTGTCAGAGGCAAGAAAAGGTAGATATATAAAGCATTAATAAAGCAGCACCCTGATTACAAAGAAGAAAACCAACTTATCTGATGTCTCAGAATAATATCTCTAACCACAGACTTTCTTCTTCTATTGTTTTGATTTTTTTTTTTTAATTAATCAGTCTTGAGAGGTGTTTCATACCTGTTCAGTTTGCAGGAACATATGTGTGTGTATGCATTGGAAAAGGAAGTGTGGAAAATTTTGGAGTTATGTGCATCATTTACATCTCAGTTTACTTGTGACCTATGTCAGTAACTGGCTGCGCCAAATGTGGGGGGCGAGGAGGGAAGAAGAAAAGTTTCCAATAGAAAAGGGAAAGGACAATCAAGGAAAATGCCAAGTATCATCAGTGTGGAGGAGCCCTCAGAGGCAAAACCGGTAACCTTGGCTGGTGAACTTTACTTCTGGGAGATACCAATGAACAAGCTACGTGTTGTATCATTACAGATGAAAATCTAAACAGGAAATGGGAGGAAAATTTTCTAACACCACAATGAAATAAAGACATGAGGAAACACACAGAGTATGACACTGCAAAAAGGCTTACTCACGCTTTCATGCACACCTACATATGTACTAAGGGAAATATATAAAAGGCATCTCCTCCTCTCTCTGTTTACCTTTTTGCTGTGTATGTGTTTGTTAGATAAACAGATCTATGTTTTGTATACCTCTTCTTAGAACCACTTATATCAGCTTTTGTCACACCACTTTAGGGATATGTCTATGCTGTATTGCTGTGGTATGTGTATAAGGAAGAACTTTCCTTATAAGAGTATTAACCGGCCAAGGAAGAGTGTAGCAAACAACATTTCCAATAACCAGCATATCTTAAAAAAAAGTTTTCTCATTTAGTGATGTGTCTAAACTCACAGAGGTTTCCATATATCCTGTGCACGGCTTAACACTGGTATTTTATGAACTCATGCATGCACAGGGCAATTCACCAAACATGGTGCACAGACCTGTGGCATGATAATTTTGGCAGCTAGACATCCAGAAATTATCAGATTGACATACAAACTGACAGGGGAGAAAATGTTCACTCAAAAGAGCAGTGTGTCACCCAAAGCGGGAAGATGTATAGATCTGCTTGTACAGTCCTTAAAAAAAGACTCATAAATCTTGGATATTTTTATTCAGGAATTGCCTTCATAAGTAAAAATATTGGAAAAGAATTCTTAGAAAACAGTTAAGAACTACACTTTTCACATTGCCGGTGAAAATCTGAGAATTTTTACTTTTTTTTTTCCAGATGATGACCTTTGTAATCATAAACAAAAGAGTGAAACAGCTGTTGGGTGATGTAATGATATTAACAGTAAAAACAGACATCTAGAATGTGTATTGTCAAGTAGTCTTGAATAAAATACATTTTTACCACATTGTGACAACATACCATGCTCATCATAACATGCTCATCAAAAGTGCTGGTTAGAATTACTTAAGAAAAAGCTGAAAATACCCTTACATAGTTCAAAAAAGTCCAAAAAAGGCCTGAAAGTAATTTTTGCTTAAATTCATTAATTTAGGGCCTCTAGATGAACTTTTAAAATACCTGCATGTATAGACATGGTTTTTCCGTATACTGCGCCTAAAGAATCCCTTGCATCCATCACAGCTGGAAGCACCATAATGTTTCCCAGTCGCTCGGTCTCCACATATTGCACAGAGACTACTGACCCCGTTGTCAGCAGCATTCATGTTGACAGCTTCTCCTGAACCGTCTGAGGAAAGGCAAGAACAACATATGTACTTACAGGCAAGACTTGCAACAACCACTCCCTGAACGTTTTGTACATAGAGAGACGCCTTTTCTAGCCTTCTCTTTTAATTGCCACTTACTGTTTATATAGCATGACATATCTAATTACGTCTGGTTCTTATTCAGATAAACACTTTCAGAGTTATACATAGGCTAGCAGAATTTATGAAGTTTCTAAGATGTAAATTTATTCTAAACACTTTCCGATTGGAAAAAGTTAACAATGAAAGCGTAACTCTGCATGTCTAATGACCTATACAGTCTTACTAACATGAAGAGGAACTTTGGCACAAAGCATTGTTGCCTAGAGTTGGCAAAGATCTCATGTATCTGTTCTCATACGAGCTGGCAATAACTGGTAACTGCATGCGTAACCACAAAAAAAAAAAATATAGGCAAGACAATTTTTGCTTAATACTTAATGAAAAAAAAGCATATTAAAAGGACTAAGTGTTATTCCCTCAAACAAGTTTTCCAAAGGAACATTGGTGCAGACTTCACTTACACAAGAGAATATTAGCTATGTGATTTACAAATAGTCACTGAATATCGTAAACAATACTGAAGAAATTCACCTGAAATCAAAACAGATATATTTATTCTCCTTTGAGTCACAATGTTTAACAGACGTGTTCAAAGAAATGATTGCAAAATAGCTTTTTCTGTTATGCTTCTGGTTTTATGAAAGGAAAGCTGTTTGCGTATGCAGTAAACATCTGTATTTGTTCAGTTTTTTAGTGTCACATCAATTAGTTAGTCAAACATGCATCCAAAAGTACATGAGTTCATGAACAGTGGAAAGGTCAAAAAGTAAAACTGTTAATATTGATACATATTATTATTCATATTGTACTAGATCCAACTGAAATGTATTACACAAATATATTATAAAATGTTCAGTGCGTTCTGAAGACCTCAGAATTTAAACAAAGTTCTTTACACAAAGAGAGAAGCAATATTTTTTCTTTTTTACATAGACATAATTGATAGGAATTTTATTAAAAATTGATTAAATAGAAATGAAATCTTAAAGGTAAGAATTCAGTTATATAAAGATTTTATTTTAAAACTAAGTTTGCCATGACTAGAAAATTATTTTTCAAACTAGGTTACAGGATTAATTTAGCTAGAAAAATATAAAACTTTTCTTTTGGACTTTTGTAATTTTCCATCATAATGACACAGCAGAATAATTAAAAATACAATATCTAAATCTAGTAATGAAATATTTCATAGCAATTACAAGTTGTGCATATATATAAGGATATACTTATTTTCCTTGGTATCCCATGTCTGGGATATTGACCTGATTTTTAGAAATTCTTTGATTTCAACAGAAATGCCTGGGTGTGGGTTTTTAACCTTCTTTGAATGTTTCTAATTAATTTAGAGAGCCAGAAAAGACACACAGTATAGTTCAGAAGTGGCAGCTTTTAGTTCCAGACAACACTGTAGCTACAAGACATTGTTTTTATAAATTCTGTAAAAAAATACTTAGTCTAAACTGAAAGCGAACTCTACACAGAAAGGGGCTCCACCTCATAACTAATGATTATCAAACTAATCACTTACAGTGAATAGTTTAACTAGCTCTGTCACCAACACATAATGCAGCATAGCATAGCTTCCTTAATCTGCTTTCCCATTTTATGTAACATTAACAGAACTGAAAGGGTACTATTCAGCAAAAAAAAAAAAACCCGAATGAAATCACCCATATTAGAACAAAAACCAGAGAAATCATCTAAAAGTTACATAACTATTGTTGTTAGCTTCAAAATCACTTGGGGCATAAAGGTCTGTTTTTTCTTCCTAAATCAATAACTATATCTACCTTTCTGTTTACTAAGCTTGTTGTAATGAAACATCAGAAATTTAGATAAAAATTCAAGTCCAGCAATAAAAACTAACAGGTTCTATATGGCAGGAATATATGGAAATGCAGGTGCTAATTATTTTCCCCGCAAATCACTAAATCTGTTCTGCTTTTTAAAAATACATATTAAAATGGACCTCTCAATTACACTTTATGATATAATAAGACAATTTTTAGGTATATTAGAAGATTTGGAATACCATTTTAGAGTGGTTCATTTTGCCTTACTCTTTTCTTCACTTCCATATACTGACATTTCACTTTTTTGTGTTTTTTTGGTCAGTACTCAATGGCAGAATGAAATCGTGTGTTTCCTATTTCAGTCATAACTTACTGATACAATTTCTCAAAAATTTGTTGCATTAAAAATTCCACTTAAATTTAAACTGTTACATTAGCCAAATGAAAATAGTTTTTCTCAGCTAAACATTAGCCTCTAGAAAGCCAACGTGAATTATTTTAAAAATCATTCTGATTCATACATACACATACCCAGAAAAGCTAGATAACATTTCAATAAATAAAATATTAGTCCAACAATTAGAGACTAGGTATCAAGAAACAGTAGCTATTTTTTTTCACAAGACTCTCGATAATTTTGTCCTCTCCTTCCAAATGCTATATACAAAATATTGTTTCATGTCCAAACTGTCAATACTAGTTATTCATTTGTCTTACAGTAAATAAAACAAGTGCTGAATACACCATTTTCTTCCTTTGATTAACTGACTGGTGACAGTACAGTTCAGTTACTTTATTACATATAACCTCTCTTTTATTTTCCTTAATGTTAAAGAATTATAATGTTATTAACTTAGAGTTAGTGACGAAGTGTAAAAGAGCAGATTTGCAGTTTGAAAACAACCCCCAAATGCTCCATTAATAAAACATTTAGCTAACACCTTACAACATTACTAAGCTTCCCTTCTTCTGTTAGCTGGCTTGATTTTGCATCGCAAAGCAGAACTCACCATTGCCATTATACAGAATCTGCATAGTTTCGAACTCCAGTGCCGTATACGTTGGATCTAAAACCTCACTGTAGTTTGCCATTTCCATGTCTAGTATTGATTCCGAGACCCTCATCATTGAATGCAAAGCCAGTGAAAAAGCTGCTCAAATGTACAACCTTCCCATTCTGTTTCACAGTGATTGATAATCCAAAGTTAACTATAACTCTGTCACTTACGTGCTGCAATGGGAGGAGCTGGAAAACTGCTTCTGCATGCTATATTCTACCTATTGGTTTTTTTTTTTTCTTTCTTTTATGATACAGTGCAACCCTCTTGATAATCTTGGAATGTTTTATGGAATAACCTTATCAGGAGTTGCACTGGTTCCAGTTCTTGAGTGAACCCAAGGACATGCAGGAAGCTTCTTACCTCCTATGCCTTGCTACACTTTGTTGCCAATGAGTGGTATGAACGGTACTAAACAAACCAATACAGTTGTTTTATGTAAAAAGACTGTAGGTTCATATGCTATTTTGCTCTGCCTCTGGGATATGATTATGGACTATCCTCATACCCAAAACATAAAATCATAAAATCACAAAATGGTTTGAGTTGGAAGGGACCTTAAAGATCACCTAGTTCCAACTCCCTGCCATGGGCAGGGACACCTTCCACTAGACCAGGTTGCTCAAAGCCTCATCCAACCTGGCCTTGAATACATCCAGGGAGGGGGGAGCCACAGCTTCTCTGGGCAACCTGTTCCAGTGCCTCACCACCCTCTCCGTGAAGAACTTCTTCCGGATGTCTAGTCTAAATCTAACTTCCTTCAATTTAAACCCATTACCCACCGTATTTTAAAGACTGCTGCAAAACATCCCATTTTTACATTCTTTAACAGCAGCAATGAGCTGGCTGTGTAGGTATGCTTAACCAAGGCCTCAAGCAACACAAGCTCTGCAGCAAGAAAGGACAGTCTATGGATCCCCCATCACATACTGTGTTGCTGCAATGACTCGAGGCAGTGGACCTTGCACACTCTCACAAATGGATTCCTGCCCTAACTCTTTATCACACAAGATGTGATGGCAGCATGTTGTTTTCAAGCACTGTTCAGATGTGCAAGATAAAAAAAACCTCATTCTTCTACTCTGAAAAGAAGAATCTCTGAGTAGGTCCACTCATTAGCCCACTCCTCACTAGTTGGTGACCATGGCATGTACAAATTTAGTTAAAAACCCTCCTGTAAAGATGCTTGAATCTGTGCAAAAGATGGCTGAATTCCACCTGTTAGTCAGGTGCTTTTAAAAGGTGGATAGCAGAATTTCAGATGTTATTATTTCTCAATGAGTTCTTTACAGAAATCTGCCCTTTACACTGAACAACAGCTATAGTAAAGATTACATATATAGGAAAATTGTCTAGTTTACATTTAATTAATAAGAGCAAGTAACTGTATATACAATATTGAAAGGTTTATTTGAGTGAAAGGAGTGCCTGCAGTTGTCCAGTAAAAGCATCTGCAAAATGGCACCAAAAAAAAAAAAAAAAAAAAGCAATAGGTGACATACCACCTACTGTTGGAAAAGGAAAACTTACAGGAAAAGATCTCGAAATAAAAGCATTCCAAAATTCATCCTTCAAATTTCCAAGTGCCCAAGGTTACCTGAGAGGCACAAATCATCTTGCTTTTCTTGATACATAGATGTTCTCAGGCCACTTCTCCTCCTGACCCCAGTTGAGTCCAGTGGCCTAATTATGACAACAGGATTCTTGTATAACTGGCTGCCACAGAGCCATCCCCAAACAGAGGACATTTATGATTGTGTTACTGCTTTCACACATTCTCTGCAGATTTTGGAGGGTCTCCACAGAGGCTGTTCTTTTCAACCTACTGCTATTCCTTTTTGAACCACTCATCCATTATTATGTTCAAGGAGATATCAAAATGCTTCAGAAGTTACTACTTATAAAAGGGAAAACTTATAATGCCTTCATATTAAAAGCACTTTTATTAATGACCAATGTAACTACAAAAACTTCCTATAGACTAGAGGACAGGTAATACATGGGAATTTTTTAAGATATTTAAGTTTATGACTGAAATGTTGTTAGAGTATTTCATGCCTAAAACCATGGAAGAAATTCCACTCAAATTCCTACTCTATATTTTTTTTTTTTAATCACAGTAGTTCCATCACAGGACAGAATCCTTTTATACTATCTAAAGGTTCATTTTGAAAAGTTTCTTCATTAGCAGAATGTCTTGCCTTTGCTACAACAATTTGTTGTATTTGTATAGTGTTTGCTACAAAACTAGTTACTAGTTACATGACAAATGATTCATTCCATTAAGTATGCTATTTAAAATAATATACACATTTTTACATTCAAACTAGGATTATCTTTTGTTCCTTAGTGTATAAATTTTGATAAGATTTTTTATAAATAATCTCTGGGGTTTTAATACCAAAAATTGCATGCTGCAGAAATACTAATGTATCTAAGACTAGCTGAATTTTATTTCAAAACTCCAGACCCCAAAACACCCTGACATGAGTAACTTTAAAATAAGAGAATGAATGTAAGATGGAAGATATCATGTATGACATGATCAAATCCTTCTATTCCCACTGCTGTTAGAACAACTTCTTCAGTGCTGCCAAAACAGGCTCCTCAGTGACTACTAAAGAGAGGGAATGAATTGACCCTTCATACTTCTGTCATATAAAAACTCATTTCAATTGATTTTTTAATATGGAAAAATGTGTGCTATAGGAAAAACATTCTTTATACTATTTCTCCATGTTTTGCAAAGGAAACTTCTTACAGTTAAATCTTGCAGTCCTAAAATTCTGCTTTCTGGGGGATTTTTGGCATCCTGAAGTAAATCATGAACAATTAATGTACACTAAATGACTACTGTAAAATATTAATATGTTTTCTTTCTGCCTTAGGTGGATCAGAATACAGGCCTGAAATAAGAGCAGCTGAGGAAAGAAGCTAATGATAAACAGCTTTTTGTCCAGTGTCAGTTCAAGCTTTATAATGTTCACTAGTACTCAGACCCCCACACAGCAGATTTCTTTCCATAATGGACACCTGCACTGCTTTTCAAATTCTGAAAGACCTTGCAGATTGCAGTATGAAATGTTCTTTCAAATTCTAAGTCATCTACTACTGACAGCCAAGAAATATTAGCTTAAAGTAAGCAGAAGTTTTAAAATTGTATAACTAGTCAAACTGAGAAAAACTCCTTTCAAATAAGTGATAATTTAGAGAGGAGTGAGAAATGACTTTTCAAAATAAATTTTGCAGTAATTGTAAAAAAAGAGAAAGGTACACAATAATGATTTTGTTGGGTTTTTTCTTTAAATCTGATGACTTCACAATCACATACAGAAAGCATTCCTATCTTATCTTTAAGGCTATTAGCTCTGTTAATTGTTCAGCTCTCCATATTAAATGTAATCATTCTTTCTGATTGTGGCATAAAATAGAACACAAGCTAATAAAATCAAGGTTATTTCCATAAAAGTCTTCCTGAAAATAAAAATGAATCTCAAAATCTCCAACTACTATCACTAGTGAAACAAGTTTTGGCTTGCTTTTTTTATTTTTAATAAGTACCACTAGTCCTCTCGTTATTCCAGCTTAGTAAGAAATGTAGATCCCTGTAAGAAAGTCTTTATTGAAAGTCTTTATTAAAATTCTGGGGATTTTTTTCTTGTTTCCCATGCATTCTATGTAAGGAATACATGTTCACACTATTTCTTTGTTTTGCAAGTACAGTGAGTTCTGGTGAACGTAGTTGGGAAAGCACCCTATTTTTGTCAATAAACTGGCATATTTATCCAATATGTTGCTAAAACACACGTTTTGATACGTAATGAAACCATACGATCTGAGCCAGAACGTCACATTGCTGCAGTAAACTCAGACAAATATCTCTAAGTTAGAGTTCATTTGTCAAAAGCTTGCTACCCAGGAAGTGGTGTGCAAATTTCCACACGCCAGCAGGGAATCTCATCTTTGGTTTACAAAGACACACGCCCATGAAATACCAGAGACTGAGTGTCCCTCTCCTGTAACACACCCTCAGCGCCAGGAAGAACACTGCCAGTCACCATCACATCAGCCCTGCTGCCACCTGCCCCCAAGTAATTCATGAATGGTCCATGAGTAATGACTTGGAAATGTTTGCTTGAATTCTACAACATATAAAATTATGACGTGTTTGACATGAAAAGATTTGTAACACTGCAGTATTACTTTATTTTATAGAGAATGATGGAGTTTTTTAATAAAAATGTTAGAACTGAATCAGATATAAAATGAGTGACAAAATCTAAACATGTATTGCCAAACTTCTTAGATTTCTTGGAAAATAAACAGCCTTATGTGCTTCAGGCCTAAATACCATGATGGAAAAATGGCTGTGGTCCTCTAAAATGCTAAAACATTACAGCATGTCTGTAACATTGTCATGTCCCTGCTCCAAAAAAAAAGGTTCAGAGCCAAACAAGGACAAAGTTGCCTTTGAGCTGATCAATCTTAAAGGATTTTTCAGAACAATTTGTGAATCATGAGGGTAAGTGCACAGCACAACTGCTTCCAGTAAGATGATCAAAGTCACCATCTCATGCCACTTCTCAAATCCAGCATCAACTATCAGCTTTACCGAGTAAATTCATGGCACCTAGATGCTTCTCTGCCTTTTCATTTTGCAACTTCCATTTGACTTTGTCCTAAAAATATAGTAGTTAAATAAAACACTAGAAAATCAGAGCAAGTACCAGAATTGAATAACAGGTTTTCACAGCACACTTATTAGGAAAGGTGGTAAGTTTAGCTGCAACAAATCATGCCAGGTGAAACGTAAGTACAAATCTTTGTGGGAAACCTAGGCTAAGCCTGTTTCCATTAGACACATTTTCGGACACTTAGACCACCCCAGGTATTCTATAAAAACTGAGATTCTTACACATAGTGAATCTGCCTCTTTTTCATTTGAATTGGTGATTCATTACATTGAGCTCCACTGTATCATATGACAAAAATACACAGCTTGCTTTATGAAGTTATGATGTGTGTTGGGGTTTTGTTATTTCATTTTGAAATAACAGGGAACAGACCATTACTGCAAGCT